TATGTGATTTGGATTTATTCATCGAGTATTGAGTTCTTGTGACCGATAGGTACCTATCAATGGCTATAAACAAGTGGTGTAATAATGATGAGCCGGTACATACAGCACTGATTAGGTAGTGGATGTCGCACATGACTGACCCATACCTCCATTCACTCATGAAGACGATGGCTAAGTATGCCATCACTGGCATCGAGAACATACCGATCCAGAGGTCGGTTATACTCAGCGATAGTATGAGATAATTAGTTTTAGACCTCAGTTTAGGTGTTGTTATTACGGCTGTCATCACTAATATGTTACCAAATATTGTCATAAATATTATTATAAATAAAAATACCGATGATATGAATTGAATGATAGAAAGGCTTTCCGTTGAGATTAGTGTTGAATTCATTTGTATTAATAATAAAATTAAATCTTATTATAACTGTATATTTTAAAAGTGTTCATTTATTTTGCACATATTTGCACAAAGTTTTATGTAGTTAATTAAGTTATTGCTGTTTATAATTTATTCATGTCATATATCATATATTATGCCATATTCTTAGAGTTTACATTAATTATAAAACAAGTGCACCAAAAGGATATGTAAATGTAATTAAATATTTAGCTTACAAATTGACAAATGAATTTCATTTACATTTAAATTACTTTACATTGGAATAACAGCAATTGTCATGAGGTGTAAATTTTACGTAATTATTATTATGTATTTGAAATTAATGTCCGGCAATCCTAGTAATTTAATACACGTTTAATAAATTAGAAATTTTATTTACAATTTCTTTGCGCAGAAACTATAATATATTATACTGTACTGTAAGTAATTTACATCATATTGTATCCGATTCAAATTCAAACTCACATAATGGTAAATAAATATGCAATCATACAGTATATTATAATAAATCTATGACATTTTAATGACATTCATGTGATATTCATAGATTTTTTTTATCAATATTTACATAAGAAATATGAAAAATAATGAAGAAGATATGTAAACGTAATTAAAAGTATTAAAAACTAATTTTTATCCCTTAAGCATAAATATAAAAGTTATAGCTTAATATAACATGTTACCGGTGATTATAATCTGACAATACTGTACTAGTATTCTGTCGGTTATACAAAGTAATAAAATAATACAATAAAAATGAGCAAATAGTGTATAATTCTGTCACAATATCTATGCTTTCGAAGAATTATTCTCCAGAAACTCCAGAATATTCTCGTATAACACCTTATTCTCGGTCTGTATTTTCATGATTTCATTCAACTTCCCATCCGTTTCCCTCAGCGCGTCCTCCACTTTACACAACCGATAGTTTAATACACTTTTGGACTCGTTTTGAGTTTTGGACACACCTTCAGCTATCGTCTCAATGTCCGTCACTTTAGCCGTGATTTGCTTAACTCTGGACAACATCTCCTGATGTCCGGCAGAGTACTGTTCCAACACATCCCTCACATCGTATGGTTTGAGCGCTTGACTGAAATGTCTTTGGGCCACAAAAAACTTGGTTTTCAACACAAATCGCATACAAATCTTCTCGATTTTGTTGAAATCCTTTTTGCGCACCTTTTTCGACAATTTTCTTACCGGCGATACCGGAGGGGACAGTGATGTGGGGTTCAGTGATGTGGAGTCCAGTGAATCGGGATTTAAGGGATGTTTATAGAAGTGATGGCATCGCCACCGGGTTTGTATGAGTCGTATACTAATTGGACACAAATTATTGAATTACTTGTTAAATATATGAAAATAGTTTTGTTTAACTTATATCTTATAGTACTTACGCCGGTATCAGACGTTTGCCTTTCTGTCGGAGCCGTTGCTGTTCCTGAACCTATAGGTAATTATTCAACATTTTATGAAAATCTTAATTAACATCCAGTTATCAGCCGTTAATATGTCTTACCTTTAAGGCGAGTCCAGTACCTAATATACCGGCTGGCAATGCAAACACAGAAACACCCACTAACGCACAAATACTGGCTAAAATTTTACCCTGAGCCGTGACAGGGACTATATCACCATAACCTGGCAATCATAGAAACGTGGAGAATTATTGGGACTTATAGTATGCATCTAGTACAGTATTATCATTAAAATCATACAATTTGCAACCGTTTGCATACTCAACATACCTATCGTACAGAGACTGACGACTGTATACCACAGACTTTCGCCTAAATTATTGAACTTCGGGTTAAAGTCTTTCTCCACGTAATAGACAGTGAATGCCATGAATATGAGCGCCAGGAATGAGCAATAAGTAGCTATAAAACACAAGTTATTTAAAGTTTTTCATTTCAATAACTAATTCACTTTATGCCAACTGACTGATGTACAGGTGCTCCCGCTGTTGCCATATGACCGATGCCATGACACGCCACGGGCGGAACTGGTGCTCGAGTCGCACCAGTTTGAAGGTCTGAAAAAATCGGACCCCCTTTAGGGATGGCGTCAGGAATCCGTCTTTGATGTTGAACGCGATGATCAGAATGGATGATATGATGACCAGTAAGTCGATCACTCGGAATGGGTTTATAACGAAACGGAGTTTCCCTTTAAAGCCCCGGTAGTACGAGACACAGTCAGAGGCCCAGAATCGGGCCATGTACTCCAGGGTAAATATGATTAGCAGGGTGAGATCGACCCCGTATAGTATTAAATTTAAGTGGATAACTGGAAGCTCTGCAATATGTTGTAGATTATCAATTAATATTACCGTAAATATTATTATAATTTGTGCATGGCCAAATTTATTCCATATTTAAATTAAAATTGGAAATTAAAAAGGAAATAAGTTGTAGTAAACGGTCAAAATAAATGTATGATTACATTAATAGTTAAGTTAAGTAATACATTACAAGTAAGTTCTTAAGTCTAATTAAAGTTATGTTTATAAACTGAATTATATTTGTGCACTTATTTTAGTAACTATAAGAACATTCTGTATAAGAGTTAAACTAAGAAATTCTAAAATTGTTTTCTTAAAAACTTTAAGATATTCACATTTACTATTTGATATAACAGGTAAACATTAATGACTACTATATAAGTTTATTATATAGGTTATTATATTGGTGTTAATTACCGGTAAAAGTGCAGAGTATGGTCAACAAGAGGCACAACATGACCAGAAAAGACACCGTAACGTGATACAGGCGCCCAATGGGACCGTTAGGGTCGTGTAGGAACTTATAGGTGGCGGCCCTCCTCCGCAACCACTTCACCGTATTCTCGGACACCGACGACGCGCTCCGTTTCGGATTAATCTGACGGTCGGCGCCGATAATACCCGAGCGCTTAATGTTGATACAGTAGTGCAGGGCATCGACCATCGATTGCAGAGGTTTGGCTGTCTTTTTCAGCACCTGTTCCCTGGAGGCGATGGTGTCCTGCGACGACTCGACGTCGGCCTCGAAATGCGAATATTCTAGACATTGAGTGGTCATTGTGTCCGGTCTATGGCTGACCACCATTTGGTGATAGTGTGGTGATTATGTATACGAAGACTAATAGTAATATAGTTTTGTGTGATTCATGAGTGGGCAGTGAATTGATAGCTAAATAGTCACACGATTTCTGCTAAATAATGGAAATTTAGAAAAAATAAAATGTGAGACAGTATTACATTAATCAATAATAATTAATTATAGGAATATTATTATATTATTATTATTATACGATATCAAATGATTCGCGATTTAATACAGTTTTATGAAAGCATTTCACGTGAATATGGGATAACTATGAGTCGATGCCCTTATCTTGTATTTATTTATTGATTTACAAGTTTTTATCACTTAATTCTCGGTTTTATTATTTATTAATAACTTGTGTTTCACTCATTTATATGCAATACTAAAATGACAAATGTTATACTCTGTAATTTAGAGCCTATAAATACTGTTAATCAAATACACGAGGTATTGATTTTTGATATACAGTAAACTTTGTAAACTCTAATAAAAGTACATTTGTTAACATATAATTATGTAAATTTAAACATTTATTTTTAATTTAGTCACTATTGTTTATATTTTTAACATAATAGAAAAATACCTATAGATTAAGACAATTGAAATATAACAGGTTAGATTACAGATATTTATCTTAATTATAGTCAATAAATTATAATAATCTTGTATTTATTCTTACCATTAAATTAAAAGTCTTTTAAACGCAATTTAAACAGGCTTAGTTTATATCCTGTTACAATGATTCATAGCGTATGCCATTGTGTAATAATTTAATTGTAACTACAATTTTAGTACGTATAAACCTTTGTAAATGACATATAATTTATAAATTAAAAACTTAAAACATATAAAATCTGTATAAAATCAATATTATGAATAGCTTATGATGATTTATTCAAGGCACTTTTAAGTATAACATTGAAAGTCATATTACATGTATTGCAGTATTTTATGAAAATAATTACCAAAGTCTTATAAAATAACCAAAAAAACAAGTTTTCATTTTCACATGTGTTTTAATTCAGACATTTGTGACAAAAATGATAACACATTCATTAGTCAATTGTAATTTACACTTACCATTGGGTTAGCAAGGCTAATTGAATCACAAGATTAAAGTTATATGCTTTTCAATAAAGTAATATGAACTTTATAAAGTTTACTATACTTTACTATGTAGCTGTCAATTTGTGTTTACACCGATATTTATACAGTGCCAAAGGTAATAATAATTAATTTAAAATAATTTCGCAACATATGCCGTAATTAGCGAGCCCTTAATGCATTATAAGTTCTCGGGTGATATAATTGTATGGAAATGATAAGCCAAAAGTTTTCTCATATGTTTTTGTTGTCTTATTAAATGCAATCATATATTATATAACTATTGCATTATTAATAAGTTATAGTTAATAACTAGTTATAATTAATTTCTATGTTTTTTCCGATAGTACTCCCAGTAATTATTCATTAGTCAATGACTGGATGCTTTTGCTCTTAAACACACATTTTTGTACTAAATTCTGTACACAAGTCTTATAATGAATCGCTATTTACACCTGAAATCGCTAACCTCTGTATTAGAAATCATTAATTAATAGCAAGTACATTTACTTTATACTGTTTTCTACTCATTATGAATGTATATTTTGTTGCTGAGTTATAGTAATAGTGTACTGGTAGTTTTATTTACACGATTTTCACGAATATATCGAAATTGCAATTTTGATTTATGGAGACTTTTGTGTTTCATTAATCTATCGGTGAATTTATATTTTTGTTAATTAATTTTTATGCTTATTTAGGATGATTTGTGATAAACTGACTGTTGTTTGTGAATCGGATACTTGTGATATGTTATGAATATTCATGTGTTTTGATGTTTTTATAGCTATTCTATGCGAGAATTTTAATGAATTATTGCCATAGGGTTACAATTGTATTAAAATCGTAAAAAGTAGTAATTTTTATGTATGAGTTTTGAAACTCTGTGACAATATTTACTAAATTACTACTAAATAAATAATGAAAAGTTATATTTTGTAATAATTATTTATTTGTATTTTTATATAGATTTAGATGTATTAGAAATAATTTGCTAAATGTTTTTACAGTAAACATGAATTACATGTGAAATAAATGACAAATAATTGGTTTCATTGAAAGCATAACACAAACTAATAGACAAATGTTTGCATTAATAGTATCGGCTATTGATGTCTGTCCACGAACTCCTGGTTTAACATAAGCACCGGTAGTATCAATAGTATTAACATCACCACTAATACCACCCGTGATATCATTAGTATCGAGGGCTGTCGT